AGAAGAGTAGAATAAAACTGATTTGACCTGCCTGGGTAGGCGACAGTTATTGGCGTAATATATTTAGAACGAATCTCGTGATAAAATCGACAGGATAAAACAACGTGCTCAATTGTCTCGACCTGTCCAGAATTGCGACCTGTCCAGAACAGTCCCTGTTGCCTGTTCGGCTTCCTTAGTCGGTTAAGGGAAGGATGGGGAAAGGTGTTTTTTTTTTAAATGCATTTTCATATGCAGAACTCAAATATATCTCGAGAGGTTCAAGTAGATCCAGTTTGCCTTGCCGCGTCAGAGGCCTCCCTCCCTGCGTGCTCAAAGTGGCCGTCTGTTGGCTTTCCTATGACCATTTTGTATATTATTACATTTAACATGAATTCTCGGGATATCTTATCTCCTGAAATGTCACGCCTATTTGTCCAGCACTGCACAGGTGATGACTAGCTTTCAGTCAGTGTGCACATTCCTTTTTGCGACCCCTCCCTTTACTTCTATCCAGCTGAACAGCTTCAGCCCGCTAGCTATTCGCCAGCTTCTCTTAGGACACGCAAGCAATGCTGGGTAAAAACGTCCCTCCGTGGCTGGTCCGTTGTGCTGGTTTTTGTGGTTGGCTTGATTTATTGTTAGAGGGAACAAACCTGGGGAATCCCAAGCGGGGAGGAATCACGGGAGGCATAAACAGAAATCCCCAGCTCACTCAGCAAAATCTCTACTCTTAGAATTGTGTGAATTCTCAGAAGCATGAGCAGAGTGATTCTCCACCCCTACCCCCCTCTTTTTCACTAACTGGCAGTACCTTGTGGTCCTGGAGCCTTTCTTGGGCCAGTTTTTTGAGAATTTTCCCTCCCCTCCTCTGCTCCCTCTCAGCTGTGAACATAAGAACATCAGACCATAAGAGAAGCCAATGTTGGATCAGGCCAAAGACCCATCCAGTCCAACACTCTGTATCACACAGTGGCCAGAAATACCAGTGTCATCAGGAGGTCCACCAGTGGGGCCAGGACATTAGAAGCCCTCCCACTGTTGACACCCCCCCCAAACAACAAGAAGACAGAGCATCACTTGCCCCAGAGTCCCTATCTATACCTTGTGGCTAATAGCCACTGATGGACCTCTGCTCCATATGCTTATCTAATTCCCTTTTGAAGCCATCCATGCTTGTAGCTGCCACCACTTCCCACTTCCTGTGGGAGTGAATTCCAAGTGTTAATCACTCTTTGGGTGAAGAAGTACTTCCTTTTATCCGTTCTAACCCGACCGCTCAGCCATTTCATGGAGTACCCACGAGTTCTTGTATTGTGAGATATCTTGTGATCAAAAATTCTACTTTGTGAGAATTAAAGTTGTGAGCGAGCCATTTGGCTACTGCATTAATGTTGTGAGCGAGCCATTTGGCTACTGCATCAATGAGTTTGCTCTGGAGCCCTCCTTCCTGAGCTAAGACGAAAATGGGTGAGCTGGAGGCTAAAAAACGGTGAGCTCGCTCACACTAACTCAGCTTAGAGGGAACACTACCCCTCCCCTTTTTGGGGGGCTGACAGAGTCAACAAATTGAGAGTCCAATGGCACCTTTAAGACCAACAAAGGTTTATTCAAGGTATGAGCTCTTGTGTGCATATGAAAACTCATACCTTGAATAAATCTTTGTTGGTCTTAAAGGTGTCATTGGACTCTAAATTTGTTGTACTGCTTCAGACCAACACGGCTGACCAACTGGATCTATCTTGATAGAGTCCTGTTTTTCCCGCATACCCGGAGAGCCTTCTGAGTAGGTAGAGAAGTTTGTCTTGCCTCTGGTTCGCCTGGATCTGTTGCTTTTGGGATTGGCATGGGGCCGGCTGCTTAACTGTTGGATATCTTGGTAATGATGCAGACAGGTGCTGCCAAGTCTCACCCCTGTGGTGCACAAGGGCCCTGAACTCTTGCATCTTTAGTGGCACGCTCCAAAGGATTTAACAGTCTCCGCATGTCTGTGCTTCTACTTGCTCACCTGCCGTGGAATATTTATGTCCCGGCAAGGGCCTAAAGCTGCGGTGGCTCAAGTGGTTAAGACGCTGAACTGCAGGCTGTGGAAGGTCGGTAGTTCAGCAGTTCGAGACCCGGGTGCCGCAAGACGGAGTGAGCTCCTGTCTCTAGTTCCAGCTCCTGCCAACCTAGCAGTTCGAAAGCAAGAAATTGCAAGGAGATAAATAGGGACCACTTCGGTGGGAAGGTAACAGCGTTCCGTGCGCCTTGGTGTTTAGTCATGCTGGCCACATGACCACGGAAATGTCTTTGGACAGCGCTGGCTCTTCGGCTTTGAAACGGAGATGAGCACCGCAACCCTAGAGTCGGACTCGACTGGCTTTCGAGCAAGGGAACCTTTACCTTTTTAAGGGCCTAAATCTCTTAAGAGAGGTCGTCTTCTCATTCACCATTCCCTTCAGTGCCTCTTTCCTTTGTTGTAACAAAGCAAACCAGCGTAAAATTTCCTCACTTGAAACTCTGCTTTTAATGTGACCCTTTTTGTGTGTGTGTGCCTTCTACAGGCCTCCATCCACAGCCAAATCTATCACCATCCCAGGTCAGGACTCCACACTGCAGCTGACCTGTAAAGGTGAAGGAACAAGCAGCAGCAGCAGCACACCTGGCACAATCGGCTCCGTCCGTCAGAACAAGTCCAGGCCCACTGTCCTCGGCTCAGGTAGGCCTTCCGAAGTACATGAGCTGAACCACTGCCACGTTACGTATTGACACCGGGCCCCTAGTGCTTGTGTTGAAACTCTGGGACTCTCTACCAATGACTGTCTGCCCTCTTGGTCTTCAGCTCACTGTTATTACCTATTAGTTACCTTTGTCATAAGAACATAAGAGACACCAATGTTGGATCAGGCCAAAGGCCCATCTAGTCCAACACTCTGTCACACAGTGGCCAAAAATACCAGGTGCCATCAGGAGGTCCAGCAGTGGGGCCAGGACACTAGAAGCACTCACACTGTTTCCCCCCCCCCCAAAGCACCAAGAATACAGAGCATCCCTTGCCCCAGCCTGAGAGTTCGTATCTGTGCCTTGTGGCTAATAGCCACTGATGGACTTCTGCTCCATATGCTGATCTAATTCCCTCTTGAAGCCGTCCATGCTTGTAGCCGCCACCACCTCCTGTGGCTGTGAATTCCATGTGTTAATCACTCTCTGGGTGAAGAAGTACTTCCTTTTATCTGCTCTAACCCGACCGCTCAGCAATTTCATGGCGTGCCCACGAGTTCTTGTATTGTGAGAAAGGGAGAAAAGTACCTTGACCTGCTCTTTCCCATGCATAATCTTATAAACCTCGATCATGTCACCCCTCAGCCGTCGTTTCTCCACGCTAAAGAGCCCCAAGCATTTCCTGATTTTTATTGTACTGTTCTCTAGGCCTGGAACAGCTCCCCTGTGCGTTAATCGGACCACGTCCCTCTCTTTTTATCTCTCTTAGTGCGAGAACATAAAGTCTTTTCTAAACTAGCCTACCCTTAAACAAGAGGGCCATTCTTGAGTGATAGATTACTTGCTTCACATGCAAAAAGTCTCAGGCTCAGTCCCCAGCATCTTTAGCTAGAGAATCCCAGGTAACAGATCTTGGGAAGACCTTTCTCTGCCTGAGACCTTGGAGAACGTTTGCCACTCAGAGCGTAGACAGTATTGAGCTGGAGTAATGGTCTGACTCGGTGTCAGGCAGCATCATGTGTTTCTGCTCCAAAGAAAGTAATTCATAAGAACATAAGAGAAGCCAATGTTGGATCAGGCCAATGGCCCATCCAGTCCGACACTCTGTATCACACAGTGGCCAGAAATACCAGGTGCCATCAGGAAGTCCAGCAGTGGGGCCAGGCCACTAGAAGCCCCCCCCACTGCCCCCCCCCCCACAAGCACCAAGAATACAGAGCATCACTTGCCTCAGACTGAGAGTTCCTATCTATACCTTGTGGCTTATAGCCACTGATGTATCTCTGCGCCATATGCTTATCTAATTCCCTCTTGAAGCTGTCCATGCTTGTAGCTGCCACCACATAAGACCATAAGAGAAGCCAATGTTGGATCAGGCCAATGGCCCATCTAGTCCGACACTCTGTATCACACAGTGGCCAGAAATACCAGGTCTTATCTAATTCCCTCTTGAAGCTGTCCATGCTTGTAGCTGCCACCACATAAGACCATAAGAGAAGCCAATGTTGGATCAGGCCAATGGCCCATCTAGTCCGACACTCTGTCACACAGTGGCCAAAACTACCGGGGGGATATTTAAATCCCCCCCAAATTGACAGAGCGTTTCCTGCGCATGCGCAGGGAATGCTCTGCAGCCAGCCTAGCCTCCGCCGCTTCAGCCCTCGCTTCGGAGCCAGGGGGCCGGGCGGGGGCCAGCGAGGCCCGGGCGGCTG